GACCACGGAGGAAACATTTATTTGTCATCCTAACAACAAACAAGACTCAATGCAACATCAATAATATCAAACATTGGTGTTGTATTGCAAGTGGGCAGTAACGTTTTTTTTACTGCAAGAAAACCTCTGCAACTATTGAATCATAGAGACAGATATAGATTTTCAAACAATCAAAAGTCAATATAAACTTTAAAGTTTCTCCTCAAAATCCAAATGATCTGATGTGCTACACATCAATTGTACAGCTCCATACTCTTACTGTCAACATCAGACTCATTTTTGTCTGTTTTCATATTTTTCTAGTAATCTTCAAAAGCATCCTCAGAGCAATAAAACGTTTCTCTGGGCAAAATGAGTGTTGGATTGATTACCAAAATAGAACCAGAATGCTGGGAAACAATAGCAGTTCATACCACTTTCTCTTGTGTTTTATACAGCACACAGCAACTAGCATGTTCTCAAGACCGACATGTCTTTGCAGAAACAGTTACTTACAATACTATCAAAAGACAACGGACAACTCAAAGAGAACTTTGATGCAGGTATCTAGAGAAGATCTTCAAAGAGAAAACTGATGGTATGATTTGAAGCATGATGTGAAACGAAACACAACTGAATAAAGATGAATGCTTTGATGAGGGAGAGTTCTGCAAGAGTGTGCAGACAAGTTATGTGCAATATATATATATATATATATATATATATATATATATATATGCACATACTATATATGCATATATATATATATATTTATATATACAGTATCTCACAAAAGTGAGTACACCCCTCGCATTTCAGCAAACATTTTATTAAATCTTCTCAAGGGACAATTCTATAGAAATGAAACTTGGATATATTTTAGAGTAGGCTAGTCAATGTGCTGATTGTATAGCAGTATATATTTACTGTTCTCTGAATAGAACTCAACATACAGCCATTATTGTCAAAATAGCTAGCAAGAAAAGTGAGTACACCCTAAGTGAACATCTCAAAACTGTGTCCAAAGTGTCAATATTTTGTGTGAGCACCATTGTTATCTAGCACTGCCTTAATCCTCCAGCTGCACAAGTTGTTCCATAATGACATCAAAGAGCTCCTGGATGTTAGACACATGGTGCTTCTCCACCTTCCGCTTGAGAACGCCCCACAGGTGCTCAATAGGTTTCAGGTCTGGATAAATACTTGGCCACTCCATCACCTTCACCTTCACCTTCAGCTTCCTCAGCAAGGCAGTTGTCATCTTGGCGGTGTGTTTGGGGTCGTTATGATGCCGTTCGGCACAGTTTCTTCAGAATGTCGCAGTACATGTTGGAATCCATGTTTCCCTCAATGAAGCGCAGCTCCCCAGTACCAGCAGCACTCATGCAGCCCCAGACCATGATGCTACCACCACCATGCTTGACTGTAGACAAGACACAATTTTCTTGCTACTCCTCACCAGGGCATCGCCACACATTCTGGACACCATCTGAGCCAAACAAGTTTATCTTAGTCTCATTAGACCGCAGGACAAGGTTCCAGTAATTCATGCTCTTGGACAGGTTGCTTTCAGCAAACTGTTTGCGGGCTCTCTTGTGAGCCAGCTTCAGAAGAGGCTTCCTTCTGGGACGATGGCCATTCAAAAAGATTTGTTGCAGTGTGCAGCATATGGTCTGGGCACTGACAAGCTGACCTTCCGCTTCTGCAACCTCTAAAGCAATGCTGGCAGCACTCATGCGTCTGTTTTTTGAAGCCAGCTTCTGCACCTGACGCACAGCACGAAGACTCAACTTTCCTAGATTGACCCTCGCGAGGCCTGTTCCGAGTGGAACCCATCTTGGAAAACCTCTGTATGACCCAGGCCTGTACTGTAACTCAGTTTCAGGGTGTTACCAATCTTCTTATAGCCTAGGCCATCTTTGTGGAGAGCAACAATTCTAATCCTCAAATCCTTAGAGAGTTATTTGCCATGAGGTGCCATATTGAACATTCAGTGGCCAGTATGAGAGAATTGTACTCAAAGCACAAATTCTAACTGCTCTAATACAAGAGACAACAATTTGTATGGTCCTGTCAAGCAGACAAAAACATGAACATGATGAATAGGACATGTGGCTTTGCATGGTTAAACGACGTACTGTTGTTATCACTTAGGGTGTACTCACTTTCGTTGCCAGCTATTTTGACAATAATGGCTCTATGTTGAGTTATTTTCAGAGGACAGTAAATATATACTGCTATACAAGCAGCACATTGACTACTCTAAAATATATCCAAGTTTCATTTCTATAGTATTGTCCCTTGAGTAGATATACTAAAATGTTTGCTGAGGTGTGAGGGGTGTGGGTGCAGCGCTCAATGGGAATTGTCCTAGCCCTCCACCTTCCCCAGCACCACCTGCCTAGATCTGCCAAGGGGGTTCACCCTACTTTCCTTGCAGCAGCTCGAATTCTATTCACCGTATTCATGTGCATCTTTTGGCAGAATCCTTCACTCATGCAGCAGCGTAGCAGTTCTAGTCCGCCAAGATTAAGCCTAAATACATTCCATGCTTAATAATAAATGCTGTTTAAATGTAGTTTGAGAGCTGTCATGATTCAAATATTTATTTATTCTTATTTGTTGTCCACGCTGTCTGCAAAACATATTTTTATTTTTATTTTGTTTCACTATGCTGATATTGCAGAATAATATACTAAATGTCTAATTGTGAACTGTTGTCTCTTGGAGCCCAGCCGAAGAGCAGTGCAGTATACAACAAAGATAAAGAGCAGGATGAAGTCTAGACCAGCTGTGAATGAAGAAAATACATCTTTGTTCTAGTTCCCACATCAGATCTGTGAATGAGGGATAAGGCCTAAATCGGAAGAGCGCATGCAAAACACTGACAAACTCAGCCCATCAATGCAAACTAAAGGAGTGAGATAATGTAAATACAGACACGTCAACTTTTAGACAGGGCTGTGTGACATTCAGAAATGAATTGAGAATGTTTTTACCATTTCTAACTTTAAACTGCAGCTCTATTATGGAATTCAGCACTATTATGGATTTGACTGACACTATTGGATGAGAAATGAACTGTGCTGGATGATGACATTACTGTTTCCTGCAGAGCTGCATCATTTGAGGTTATTTCATAATTGATGAACACACAACATTTGAAGTATTTACAGAAATGTGCTCATAAACATTTTAGTTAAACTGAATAAATTAACGTTTGCTGAAAAATAACGGAGATGCAATTCAGTCAATTCCTCTTCCTGCCATTCCAATTCTGTAGGACGTGGACAAATCAATCACACTCAATAACCGAAAAACAGTAGAACATTTGTTTCTGTATTTCTCTTTTATAACGTCAGCATCTGGTAAATGGAATAGCCAGAATGTAATGCTGAGTCAGATGTACTGGAATCTGGAAACCAACATAGTTGGGTTTAAAAGAGCAGAAAGAGAAAGGGAAACATGTAATCTTGACTGTAACAATGTGTTTTGCTCTGTTGGCAGATATATTTCTGCACAACATTTTTGCTCACAGATGAGCTCTAAATGTTCCTGACCTTCATTGAACAGTCCTATATAAAATGTTTCTCCGAACCTAGTTGTGAGCAAATGGAGATATTTGCAAAAGTCCTCCGAGACTTCTCAGATGCACGTTCTGAAGAAAAAGGACTCAAGTAATCTCGCACGAATCTCTTTCAGAAGAAATGTCAAAAAGATTTGCCAAGATATCAAATTCTGAGAATAAAAAGTCAGAGTTTTCACAATGTACACAAACATTTCTCTTCAAATGTTTGGTTCTTCCAAAGACCAAAAGAATCAGAGCTATGACATCCACATGAATTTTTATAGCTCTATAATGTGAATACATTTTAGGAGAAACATCTAAGGCAATGTTGATACTAACTTCATTGAGAACTCCAGTAAGACTCCCAAGCAATCTGAGCAAAAACTTTTTCCACTGTGATGCTGCATGCATTTTTGGGGGATAGGGTAAGACGTAAAGGATCGATCTGTTGTACCCTTCATTTCACAGGAAGCAAAGGATGCATTTCGAGGCCGCATTTGAAGGAGCCTTCGAATTGGGACAGCCTTCGTTGCGCCGCGGTGACACAATGGGCCTTCGAAGAATGCAGCCTCTGAATTGGGATGCAGCTTTTGTAAGTCTCCTTTATCTGACACACTCAATTCAGTTCATATAGCTCTTTTCTAACAAGTTGATAATCTGAATCAGGTGTTAAATGAAGACGACATACAAAATGTGCAGAACCATGGGTCCCCAGAGCCAGAGTTAAGAACTGCTGGTTTACACTAATGTGCTCTAGTGCCAATGATGAGAATGCAACGCATACTTGCATTGTGCTCTGAAATTTTAGGGCACGATGAACCGTGGCCACTTACACAGAGGCGCTATCAGAAACACACAATATTCGACATCTGATACAGTCTTCACAGTAAAATTATTTTATTAATAAAGAAGTCAATAAATAAAACAATGCAAAAATATAATGTTTTGTCAATTGTTGGGAATTGCCTAAATAGTAATAATTTGTTCTTAAGAGGTAAATAAATAAATTTACAACGTAAACTTACAAGTGGGCAGAATATCACATCCTTGGAATTGAACAAGCGAGCACCTTTAAAACAAACGATTTCCAGGATGAAACAGAGACATTGGAATGGTGTAAATGATCAAATGTAAACCACTAGTAAAGGCAAAAAGTGGTAAAAAAAAAACAAACACTCATGAATAACTCTGTCAATACAAAATATATTATGCACTTTGTCTCTTTTGCGTTCCAATGGTTTCTGACACAACTGCAATCGGTGAAGCGTCATGTTTTCGGGCGGAAAGAAACATTACAAACAATAAACTGTGGTTTCATATCATTTTTACAAAATAAACTGTAAATACTAACTAAACTAACAAGATTTACACAAGGACAAGTGACAAAAGCAATTATAAAATAAAAAGCACCATGTTAGATATGCAAAGAATTAGAACTTCCATTTTTTTTCCCTCCAGAAGGCCATGTGAAGAGTGTACAATCAACAGGAATGACTGTTTGCTGTAATTACAGGCAAGGACATGGAACAAAGTGTGCAAAAACATTCGGCTGAGAACCCAAAGACCAGTTTCTCTTGAAGAACGGTTTTGACTTAGCCATACGACAGAAAACAGAGAGCAGGTGTGTTGTGTGTGAAAGAGAAAAAGAGCGAGAGAATCTAAAATCATCAGCGTACTAAGAGAAAGGTTAGACCAGCTAAACCCACTCCTGCTGCTGCAAACAGTGCCGTCTTCATCGAGGACTCTTGGTTCAGCTGTTTTGCGTTGTGGAAAAACCTGCAGAATCCCTCCTACAAAAGACAGGAAAAACAAAAAAATCAAGATAAGATTCACATTTTGTTCCCTACGCCCATATGATTCAGTTAGAGCAGTATTTCAGACCTTATTAGTCATAGTAACTAAAATATCAACAATGAACAGAGGTATTACATAATGGCACAGCCTACTTACTCTGAACATATGAGAGGATTACATAACCCTGCTCTCAGGAGGAACGGCACATGCATCTTTAACAATAACTCAAATGAAAGAATCCTCTGAGCTGTGGAGTAATGGATAACGTGGAGTATGCTTGATGCTCACGTTTGCTCAGCTGAAAATCGAACGAGCTGCCAACCAAGAAAGCATATAGTTTGGGCCGAGTTAATTTAGAGTATTTCTGATAAGCTGTTCTATCCAATTAAAAATAGAGTAAATATAATTAGAGTTTCAAAGTTTTGACATATAAGATGATTTGTACCATTCAAAAATGGCTTGTTTGGATATTGTGTGATCATCGACGAATCGCTGGCATTCAGTCAACACCCCGCCCACTAGCATTCAGTTGCTTAACGGCTACCATCAGTCTAAAAGTGAATACAGTATACAGACGCCTTTTCTGACGTACTCCATATGCTCGAGCTACTCCTAACTACAGGACAAATAGAAGAGTAGAATTTTTTCGCTTTGACGCATCATGTTTAAACAACATGTTTGTGTCAGCCTTCAGAAGAACCCCAACATTAGGAACAAATGGATGGTTATTTTTAAAGGTGTCCCAGATCCGACTGGAAGAATATGTTTGTACGGAGCATTTGACAGCAGATTGTTTAGTAAACGTAGCACAGTAATGTAGAGTTAACAAAGAAACTTTTGTTGAAAGATGAAGCAGCCAACTGTATCGGATCTGACAGCAGCAAACAATTTCATAATGTAAAAAAAAAAAAAAAAATCATCATTTACAGACACTCACGTGCAGTAGTGACGTTAGCCAATCATAACAGTGGCCATTTACAGACAACCCTTAAGTGGGTCGCACACCGGACGAGAAGCGCAGCGCCGCGTCGCGCCACGTCTAGGACAACTCCAGGTATCGCACACCGGACGCGCACATTCTAATCGCGCGAGCACAATTTTGAATCAACTCCTGGTAGAAGAGCTGCACGATGTGTGTTTTATCTTGATTTATTATTTATTTTTTTATGTTCATTGAATAATAGCTGATGTTTGAACGTTAATCAAGTAAAAGTGTCTATCACGTTGAGTCTGTTATTTTGTTGTAACGTTATCCGTTGTCTAGGCAACTATGTCACATAATACAATAGTATTTATTTAGCTAGCGTTTAGCTAACCCGAGTGAAAACAGCACAGGGTGAAGCCATGTACATTAACGACGATTTGAGACAAATAAATGCAAATTTAATATAAAACTATGCAAATGGCGCTCTGTGGCGCGGCAGGGTTTTGAACAAGGTCCTGAGCCGTAGCTGGGCGCCGCGGACAGACGCCGAATGGCGCCGCCGGTGTGTGTACACTCATAGAGAATAATGTGTTCGAATTTTAAAGACCTGGCGCTGCGCGACGCGGCGCTGCGCTTCTCGTCCGGTGTGCGACCCCCTTTAAAGAAGCTGGCCCCTTAAAACCGAATCATTTTAGACAGAGGGTCAAAATGAGGGTTGGAAATAAATATATGTATATATCATTTTTAAATGTATGAATGTTTGTGCCTAAAACTTTAATATAGTCTTTAAGGTTGACTTATGTTAATAAAATAATGCCATGACCCCTTTAAATTTGGGCTTTCTGTGACGTAGTGTGCAGGTTTCAGGATCTAACTGATATTTTAAGGGTTAAGTGTAAATATGACCATTTCAGAAGCAGCAGGCAAAGGCACAGGCAGTCGTAACTGCCTGAGGACCCGAACAAACAGCAGAAGGCTTGAGTCGTCGGGCAGAGCAGCTGTCTTCAGACAGACACCTGCTGTACTGGTCAGAGTGAGTCCAGGTGCTCTAGCCCACAATCATATGCTGCACAAACTCTGAGTGAAGCATGGAGATCAACCGTGTGGTAAACACAATAGACTAAATGGCTGACTGGCCTTCGGCTCTGCTTTCAACAGCTGCCAAATAAAAGAGAAAGAGAAAATAGGGAGAGAGAGAGAGAAAAGACTGCAGCAGGCCTCTCAAACTCTTTATTCATGCAAATACAAGCTGCTATTTGCCTCAAGCCAGAAGTGACCGGATTTTCGATTTTAAAACTTTGCAAGAATGCCACTAATGACGTTATAAAAGTGTAAATTAGACAAGTTCTTTTCAATTCTGGTCCTGGGGACCTGCACATTTTCTATGTCTCTCTAATCTGACACTCTCAGTTCAGTTCATGGAGCTCTTTCGTAACCAGCTGATGATCAGAATCAGGTGTGTTAAATAAAGGAGACATACAAAATTGACAAAGAGTTGGGTTACCAGGAACAAAATTGAAAACCACTGAATTAGACCAACATGAAACTAACTGGTTTCAAGGGCCGGATCATCCTTTGTCATTTACTCGCCCTTATGACGTTCCAAATCCATGTGACTTTCCTTTGCTGAACACAAAAGGAGAAGTCCAGCGGGTATTTCTTTTTCGATAGTCTGATTTACTCGGATCTACGATTCAATTAAGAAAAGATCTGTAAATACTTCAGTTTGGTCTTTTTTACGCCATCTTTGGACACGAGTCTTTTAAACAAAGGTTCAGTGATGAAGGCCTGGTCACATTTCAGTGCGAGCTACAGCTAAAACATTTGCATTTGACTGTTGACTAACATGTTCCTCAAAATCATGTGTGTAACTACAGCAGATATCAGGCTGCATAAGTAAACAATGTCTCCTGGGGTTACTTAAGGCATTTAGAGTTGGAAAAAGTATTGCTTTCATAGGTCATCGCCTGGGAGACTGAAAAACTGGATGCCCATACAGAAAAAGTCCTTGGTGAGACATTTGAGAGACTGTTTAAAAGCGTTTTCCCCACAAGCATTCCTAGGATTCTTTGGCTTGTGTCACACTCTAATTGACAAAAATAGGGCAGCCACAAGAAGGTATACGCTGCTCTGCTCCAAAAACTAGACCAGCATATCACTGCAGTATGTACCTTCCAATTACACTTCAAAATGTACACATTGAAATATACAGGTAGGAAAAACTCAAAGAGATTGAGGCATCAAACACTATGCAAAATAGGCAGGCTTTCTGAGAGCACAGATGAAGGGTCAAACACAATGTACTTTGAGCACCCACGCAGTTTCATATCAACCAGAACTTGTTTGGGAAAACCCCTTACTTAAAACTCAAGTTGAAACCTGACGTTTAGAAAAGGTGTTCATACTACTTACACGCCAAGGGTCTACCGCACAAGCACAATGGCTATAAAACCATCATTCACCAGCTAATAGGCCCCGATATACTTTAAGCGAAATGCGATGTCATATCAAACAGTATAAAACCAAATTAAAGTCCTTTTTGGTTTTGGTTTTTAAAGGTCTGAGTTTCCCAGAGCAAACTTTTCCTAGAAAAGTTTGTGCCGACTGGTAAACAAATTCGAACCATCATTGCTCCGTGGCGATTACGTAATAGTTAGCTTAGCTGTGCTCTGAGGCTTTGCCTTCTTTGACGTGGAAATCTTTAATCTTCTCTGGTTCATTTCTTCAGTTCAGTCCGCAAGCTAAGACGCGAGTAAAAACATGAACACACTCAAGAGCTGCTTTCAATTAGAATTGCAACTTCCAATTTCTACTTTAATTTAAAGAATCATGGAGACGTTTTTTTAAATGTTTAATACTGTGTAGCTGCTTGCTTTAAAGCAATCCATTGTAAAGTGCTAAAACGTGACTTGATTGGTGTGTCAAACTGCAGATATCCACGTTGCTATGATCAGATACTTACTCAACTGCTGTTTTTTCAACTGTTGTCATTTTTTTGTATTGAGACGAAGCACGCAGCACATATTTAGATATTCATCTAATCATCGCTTTCAACACCATTGGCGTTTTTGGGATGTTTGCTAACAGTATACTGCAGCAAAAGTATTTTGAACTTCTTTTTACCCCTAAGCGAAGAATGAAAAAGTACTTGTAGTACTTTTGTAGTATATCAAGGCCTTAAATGTCATCTGTGCCAGTCTACATTGCCAGTGCTTACCCATCCTCCATTTTCCACCAGCCAGTCTTGCTTTTCCCCTCCTAGGTAGTCAGCTATGGTCTCAGCCAGTCTCTTGGGGCACTCAGAGTTCTCTTCTCTGGACAGTAGCTCACTGGTCAGCACTCCAGTGAAAGTAAAGATGGAGACCACCCTTCCCCAGTTCAGTTTTCCATCTCCAACCAGTTCCCTCATGACGCTCTGCAGACACTTGCTGGGATCTGATCTGCAGGTGTCCAGGAACTCCTGGGAGAGGGATCGGAATTTGGTTCTGTGCTGTTGTTCCATCTCTTTGGCCAGGTATCTCATGGCCTCTGCTGACTCGCTGGGAGGCGTCTGTTGGATCCCGCTGCAGAAACTGATGTAATCTTCTGCCAGCAACAAAGTCTGTTCCCTCAACCAACAGGACATTTTCTAAATGAAAAAGTCAAGGTCAAAATACACTAGAGGGTTTATATATAAAAATCTACTTTTATCTAATTCTTGTTTAATTATTATTATCATTATTAATTCTTTGCCCGCCATTGATGAAAAATTTCTGTCATTTTCTGTCATTTTTCTCAGCTGTTTGCCCAAAATATTGCTTTTTTTATTTATTTATTAAACTTACCCACATTCTGTGAAAACGATCAAAAATGCTGACGGTGGCTGGCAACATTTTTTTTAAACCGCTGGCGGGAAAGAGTTAAGAAACTAAGGAATATTTGCATTTTTGAAATAAATTTGTCACACTGCATTATTTAAATGAACTGCAAAGCTAAAGCTAAATTAAGAAAATCTAACATCTAAAATAATCATTAGCATTCAAACCTATAGACCAATAAAAGGTTGTTGTTTTTTTTGTCCATGTTTTGACAACTACCCTTGTATGGTTTGATGTAATCATCCCTACAAAATTTTTTTTACCATGGTAACACACAAAATATGCTGTCAAATCATAATACAATGTATACTGTATTTATCATTCAGGGTAATGAGATCTCAGAATGTGTTAATTTGTATATTTTCTTGTGAAGTCAGATATAGGTAAAATCAAGTTACCACCGTTTTTATTATCCATGTCATTTCATCTCAACTGTATGGTATTTTAGGCTAGTTCAAGCAAGCGTCTGTGTTCTATATATGCAGCATTAACACAGAACTCAACGCAGATCAGTCCATAAATGGGTTAATGATTCATAATAACGGCTTGTTATAATCAGCGGCTGTTTCTCTAGGTTCAGGCCTTATATTAAAAACAAATGACATTGAAATTCAACAATGCCCACCGTCAACCTGCTGAAGTCTATTTTGCTGGTAGTATTAACATATGGTCCAGATATGAATGAGCTTCATTGGATAAAACACCGCAGAATAGAGAAATGAAAGCCAGTGTACGCTATGCTGCGAAACACAAAGCCGGTTGCGCCATTGCTCAGGAGAACACAAAGACGCGAACCAACCGCACGCGTTCCAAATATACGTATTCTTCAATATGTATATATATAGATATATGTATATAAAAAGGGGGTGACAGCCATTTTAGAATAAAATGAACAGTTTCTAAACATAAAAGTGAAAATAATAAAGCATCTCACCCTCCCAGCGATGTCAGACTGCGCTCTCCACCGACAGTTGAGAAAACAGCAGTCAGTAATATATCTCTCGTAGCAGAACGATCTTCCGTCACTCCTTATCAACGTAAAGCACGATGCACGCCTCTTCACTAACCACGCCTCCTGCGTCATGACGCGGTTCCATTGTGTTTTCCGTCCAATAGTTCTGATCGAGATGATCAAAGAGGCTCTTCTTGTAATTAATCTGTTCATTGTATTAGTCGAATTTCACATCCATAAGTGTAAGTTTTCTAACAAAAAAAAACAAAAACAAAAAACCTTTTCTCAGTAGGCTATTCCTTAAAGAATTCGAAAATTACTTTTCTACTATTCAATCTAGTAGGCTACTGGAAAAGCTATTAAGACTGTTCTACTGTCTTCACAATCTTTGATTGATACAAAGGTCTTGTATTTTTGTGATTTATTATTATTGATGTGTGTTTTCTTTGTTCCCCTGGCTCTAAAATGTATGCTGTTGCCTATTGTTTTGTTGTTTAAAGCAATAATAATTATAAAAAGGTTCTGAACGAGATGTACCTCCTAAGACAAGATGCTTTAATACTAAAAGAGTAAGGATGACTCGAAGGCTTAGATTTTAGTAGGCCTAGTTAATGACACTTTCAAAATTAAATGGTTGATATAGAGTTTATGAAGAAAAGTGAAAATATCTGGAACGTTTTTCCTAATTAGCTATAGCCCATTTGTAATACTCTTGTGGATATACATTACATTTAAAATACAATTAAAATCACCACACAGTTTGCATATGGAATAATAAAGACATTCCATTTAAACGTAAAACGTCACTATTCTATCATACTTGGTTCTGCATAAGGCAGTTGATTAATTCGAATGGATAACGTCATGTGACGATTTTTTGCCCCCGAAAATTCCAATTACCATGCAGTTAACTAAGAGATTTCGCTTTTGTTCTCGACGCAATTCAAAAGAAAGAAATTTGCTTCAGTGGAAATCAACATTGATATGGAAATATTTAAATTGGTGATGATGTTTTAAAACGAATCAATTCTTGTTTGTTCCTTTCTGTTCATTTTATAAGGAATTAGAAATTTGTGTTAATAGAACACTGGGAGGTGTGATAGCCTAGATAGTTTGATTTTTTTTTTTTTTTATGACATTTTGGAATGTAAAAATCAATATGCAACTATTTATTTTAAATAGCCTATAATATAAAAAGAAGTGGGCTTCTTGAAAACCAAATTTCGTTCATTTTATAAATGATTTAAAATGATATCAAACCTCTAGGAACCAAAACCAAAAATCACAACATGTAATGTATAAGCACTGTCAATTATGTAAATGGTTTCTCTTTTCTTTCTCGCAGCGTTAATATTAATGTGACTGTTTAATACCTCTCGTTTTTGTGGCATTGAATGATAATAGGTGGACCAATTGAATCAAAATGGATCATTATACTCAAATAATAATATTAATAATTAGATTTATAAATAAATGTAATAATCAGATTTACTTATAATATGTAGCTCTGTTGAAGATTTTCTAGTTTTTTTATGTATTTATTTCTTTATTTAAAAAATACATATAGAATATGCAGTTATGTTGAAGATTTTCTAGTTGTTTTGATGTATACATGTTTTTTTATATATATTAAAAACGGTTGTTCACACTTTTTGACATTTTAACCACCTCTACCACAGTATAAACACAAAAACAGGAAATTACCTTATTACCTTTAATTATCCTAAATAAAGAGACAACAAACAGTAAACAGAGTGTATATTAATGTACAATACTGATGTGGACAGACAAAGAAATCAGCTAATTGTGATCAATTGCTGATTTGATCAACTATATTACACTTGAGAGATGGAAAAACACTTAGGCTACATTAAACACTTGTCTACATTTTTGACATTCTAGTGCAAGCAAAACTCATTCATGATAATATATATATATATATAAATAAATTTCAGATTTCTAGATATATACCTGTTTGATAAGCCAGATGCACAAGCACTGAAATCAACTCTGTTCAAATCATTACCATAAAATATATACCTACAAAAGTATGGATAATTATATTAAAACACTTAGGTTTTTAATATTAAAAAAATATTTTACAAACTAATACTTGAACAGCAATCTTTTTCAAATTGTGTATTTTATATATTATTGTTGTATATATTTTGGTGAGAAGCCAAGAAAGAGAGACATTTAATTGTGCTAAGATAATATAAAAGTCAGGACATCTAGATAAGAATCCCTACAGTCCCACTGTGTGCTGTGATATTGAGAAGCAAAAGTACAAATATCTCTTCTCATACTGGTACAGGACATACAGGACAACTCCTCAAGCCCAGATCTGCAACAAAGAAATGAGATGGAATTAAGAGATAAAAGAGTTCTTTATTTATTCAAAATACAAACCAAGATGATCCTCACAACATATGCGAATTCAAAGGAACGAAGAAGTTTCGTATCTCTACTTCTTATTAAGGATAGAAAGAGTACAGACCACAAGAAACCTATGACCTATGTTGCGTAATTCCCCTGTTCCTCTCAGGGGACGGACCCAACAGAATGATGTGAAACACCTAGAACCACTTCCAGTCCCTTTACTATAATCTAAAGGCAGTCCCTGATGCCAGTAAAGGGCAAAACCAAAAAAAGTCACATATGTCCTGAAGCGGACACTCACCCGTAAAGTGTTATCCCATGATCCTGAGCAGAACGCGGTACCATCAGGGGACACTCTGACAGTGCTGACCCGGTTTTCATGGCCAAAGAGAATTGCCACTCTGGTACCTTTCAGGACATCCCAAACGTTAATGGTATAGTCATTGTGTCCTGCAAACAGCAATCGGCCTGTGGAAAAGAGTGAAAGATGGATAAGATTATTGTTTGGTATAGTATTATGAAGTCAAGTCTAGTCACATTTGTTTATATAGTGCTTTATACAATACAGATTGATTCATAGCAGCTTCACAGTAATAAACAGGAAAAACAACAACAGTGTTGATCAAAATGAATGAAAAGAATTCAATTTCAGCGGTCTTTCATGTATTTATTTGTGTATTTAGTATAATGTTGTACAGTATAAATGGATGTTTAACTTGTCTGAGATCACAGATAGTTTTAATCTTCTTTTAATCACTCTTACTTGTTATTTGAAAGCTACAACGCAGGGGGATTTTTATCAGTAAATAAGTGAAATGTGTCTAATTGTGGTTGTCACTGTCCATCCCCTTTCATTAGATGGAAAAAAGAGAGAGATTTGGCTAAACTTCTCCTTTTGGCTTCCACAGAAGAAAGAAATACAGGTTTGGAACAACAGGAAAGTGAGTAAATGATGACACAATTGTCATAATTCAAGTCTTCATTTATGAACATTAAGCAGTGTCAGCAGCACTGAACACTATCTAGTAAAACTTATAGGCACATTATCAATAATACTAATCTTTAGCAATATAACTGCCACTGGTCTATACTCACCACTAGTGATACACATGCTATCATGGTAAGCGTGGGCGTCACAGCTGTGACATTTGCCTGTTCTGTCATCTGATGGGTTTAATTACAGCAGATATCTGTCAGTATTAACCATGTGGCCTGTGCACCAAAATAAGGAACGAAACATCTGTCATCATTACTCACCCTCATGCTGTATCAAACCAGCATGACTTTCTTTCATGAAACCTAAAAGGAGAATTGTAGCTCTCTGAAAATAAATGGCATTTCTAGCTTGAAAAAAAGCACAAAAAGTACCATAAATGTATCAGTTAAGTATAGGCCCCATACAAGTCTTCTGGTGACATATTATAGCTTTCAAATCTCATTCTCATAAATCCAATTATGTTGCACATCATGTTTGGCATCAATGTTGAAACACTCAAAAACCAAAAATGTCTGATATCAAACCTGACGTGACATTTTAAAGGGATAGTTCATAACGTATTACTTCCTTTATGATCTTCTTTCTTCTGTGGAACAGATATTTTGAGGAACTGTTTTTGCCTATACAATGGAAGTCAATGGGGTCCAAAACAATATGGTATTCCATAGTATATACTCGTATGGAGGGAAAAAACATTATTTTTCATCTTCTTTTGTGTTCCACAAGAGAAAGAAAGGCATACAGGTTTGGACTGATGTAATGGTGAGTAAATGATGACAAAACGTTCATTTTTGTGTGAACTGTCCCTTTAACGCATCATATTTAAAAGTACACACGCACAAATGAGATTTGAGAGTTGTAAAGATTGAGATGTAAAGATTTTCAGTGAATAGTTATTCAGTTTTGGTCTGTCACGACACAAGGGAAAGATATGGCTTTGAAGGCTTTGGAATAAATCAAAGAGCACATTTATGATACTTCTTCTGTGGTTTCTTTTTATGGTGAAGTACACATTTACTTTCATTGAATGGAAAATAACACATGGGACATTCTGCTGAATGTCTCCTTTTATTTTCAATGGAGAGAAAAAAGAAAATTGGAAAGACATGCTAATATTTGACAAATGAATACATTTACTTATATATATTTTCATCACTCTGCTTGAAGGGTCAAAGCCTGCTTTCTTACCACTGAGGGAAAAGTCCACACTAGAGGCTCCAAAAATGATACTTTCTTTGGAATAAATGGCCACCTCACGGTCAGCTCGCAGGTCAAACAGACGACACTGGAACAACAAGAAAGGTCACAGTGTGATGGACCTCAGTATCGTCATATCACATTTCATTGATCATTGGTTGATTTGAAGACAAAGACACGTTGCATGGACCTTGACCAGGAGTAAACATTAACAACATTAGATAAACTAAATACACACATACACTTAAATTCTAATATACTCTCACAAATAATCAGCCAACTGAGCTAACTAAACCTAATTTCATCAACTCAACATTATTAAAAGATCATCAAGTGATCAAAACATCATTAACTCAAGAGGGTGTAAGTGTTTTTGAAGGGGAGTATTAATCAGGGCAACAGGTTTTACATTATTGATTGGGACTCTATTGGCAATCCTTTGTAATCTTCGAGAAGCCTATTGACTGTTTTGAAATAATATGGGGTAACTGGTGTGTTGTAATGTGGAAAAACTTACCGTAGCATCATCAGATCCAGATGCAAAAGCATCTCCGCTGGGGTAATACCTGCATTCAAATATAAGGTTAAAATTCCCATAGACACTTCCAACATATAGACATAACTGACAGCGCAAATTCCAGTTCCAACTCTTTGTTCAGATCTGATTTGTTTGTGTGGTCACATGACATTTTACCATTTTATCATAAAAATGATGTGGACATTCCTTTCCAATAAACAGGTTTGGCTATTTCAGCTTCGGACATTTCTAAAAGGTACATAAAATCAGGCATATAGGCACATCCTCTCCCAATACAAGCATTTTAATTACAATTGGAACATATTGTGTTCCAGTATGACATTGGTCAGCTCATGTCCTCAACAAGGGAGCTATATTTAAAAATTCGGTAATACTTTACAATAAGGTCCCATTTATTTATTAGTAACGTTAGTACATAAAAATTCAACTGTTCATTTTTAGTTCATGTTAGCTCAAGCCCATTAAATAATAACAGATACAACTTTTGCTTTTAATAATGTAAATGTTGAAATTAACATCCACAAAGATTAATAAATGCTTTAGAAGTATTATTCATGGTCAGTTTATGCTAATGTAGTGGATTTAAAAAGTCTACACACCCTTGTTAAAACAGCTGTTTTTTTGTGATGTAAATAAATCGCCTGATTAGTACAGGTGTGTACTATTTCACATGAACTTGCTGATTATTTCTGTCTGAACACAGCCACATACCCAATTACAAAAGCACTGCTCCGAGCGGGATTTGAACCTGTGTTTCCGGCATGGGAGGTGAAATGTGTCACTTTGCTTTTCAGTGGCATTGAATTGGTTGTCATTTTTACATTAAACGTGCAAAAGTTCTAATATGACTTATCTTTTCTTTTCAAATGACATTCGTTTCATTTTTTACATTACAAAAAACAGCTGTTTTAACAGGGGTGTGTAGACTTTTAAATTCACTGTTATTGACAAATAAAACTATTGTAAGGTGTTACCAGAAATGCTTTACTGAATCTGATGTGGAAGAACTGGCCTGCACATAACCCAGACCTGAACACCGTATGAATTAAAATGGCAACTGAGCCTCATCCTCCAACATCAGCGCCTGACCTCACTAATACTCTTGAGTATGAGCAAATCCCTTACAGGCATGATGCAACATCTAGTGGAAATCCTTCCCAGATGAGTGGAAGCTGTTATAGCAGCAGAAGGAGGACCAACTGGTGCCATCGGTTTTAAAATAAAATGTTGAACAACACTCAAATGTTGAACATTTATTGTTTGGATGTCCACATAGTCACACACACACACACACACACACACACACACACACACACACACACACACACACACAATTATTATTGGTGCTCAATTATTGATGGCTCTTATTATTATCAATTTTGAAAACGAGTTTTTGCAGCTTAATATTTGTTTTGGAAACGGTGATAAAAAAAATTCAGGATTCTTTGATGAATATAAAGTTCAGCATTTATTTGAAATAGAAATCTTTTGTAGCACTATAAATGTCTTTACTGTCAATTTTGGTCAACTTTTTCTTTTCTTTTTTTGCTAAATATAAGTAAGATTTAAAAAAATGATCAAACAAGCAAGCCTTTTAATGGTAGTGTGTATCACATTTTTTCCGCAAAAATATTAAGCAGCACAACTATTTTCAACATTGATAATAAGAAATATTTTCTGAGCAACAAGTCAGCATATTAGAATGATTTCTGAAGGATCATGTGACACTGAAGACTGGAGTGATGATGCTGAAAATTCAGCTTTTGCAACCTTGCTGAGCATAAGAGACTTCTTAAAAAACTTTTGACCGGTCCAGTAGTGTACACAGTATACAGTATATGAATGTCCCTAACTATATAATAACTCAACATTGCGCCAATGGCAGCTTTTGTTGTCCTTAAAGGGATAGTTCACTTTGAAATAAATTTTTTATATGTTTTAGCTTACCTCAAGGGCATCCAAGATGTAGGTGTCTTTGTTTCCGCAGTAGTTTCAATTTTGATATTTTTAGGTCAAACCGTTCTTGTCTGTCAGTCATATAATGCAGGTATATGGTCACCACCTCAAAGAGCATACACAGAGAAGTCCAAATTAAACATGATTTAATGACTCATAAATGTAAGTACACATTGATGGCCTAAGACACGAAACGAGCGGTTTGTGTGAGAAAACGAACAGTATTTATATCGTTTTTACCTCTTGTAACCACAGCCACGTCCAAGTGATCTGAGGGCGCGGGCGCTTCGGTCTGTGCGTTACAAGAGGTAAAAACGATATAAATACTGTTCGTTTTTTCACACAAACCGCTCGTTTTGTGTCTTAGGCCATCAATGTGTACTTACATTTATGAGTCATTAAATCATGTTTAATTTGGACTTCTCTGTGCATGCCCTTTGAGGTGGTGACCATAGACCTGCATTATATGACTGACAGACAAGAACGGTTTGACCTAAAATATCAAAATTGAAACTACTGCGGAAACAAAGACACCTACATCTTGGATGCCCTTGAGGTAAGCTAAAACATACCAAAAATCAATTTCAAAGTGAACTATCCCTTTAAGCTTCATCATGCTAAGTGAGCACTTATAATGAATGTCATTAGATTGACAAAAATCATGTGGACTCCAACCTGACTGTTAACACTGAAGTCAGATTGTGACATTTTTTACATTTTTGATGTTCACAATGTCATGCAGTGAGGGAAAATAATTGGATTTGGGCAACATTCAACTGTGGTGTGAACGTAGCTTCATTATCAGCAAATGCCAGGCTGTGGCTCACTCACTTCACACTGTTGATGTCAGACTCATGGGTCTCAAAGGACTGAACATTCTGTCCCGAGCGCATGTCCCACACATTCGCCTTCTTATCACAGCCCTGAAACACACACACACACAGCACTTTAGAGACCTGTGAGAACAACACTCGCACACAACAGGGTGAATCTCAGGAGGGTCCTAAAAATAGCTGCACATAACCCAAACTGACATTGTGATTGATCAACATCCTAACAGGTCAAATCAATCAACGTGAGTAATGACTTTAGGAAATCTTTTTTTTTTATCCAGTGCTTTCTTTCACCTTTATAAAATGAAATGAGTATTTCGCTGATTCAGCTGTACTGATAGTAATCTCACATGTGTTAGCCCCTTTCACACAGAGATTCCGGAAAATACACGGATAAAGCGACCCGGGATTTGACCCGGGTTCGTTTGATTTTGCTTCATTCACACTGCCAGTGATTTGCCGGAATCAGAGAGCGCGTTCACACACAACCCGTGTATGTTCCGGAAAGACACGTGACATCGATGTGACATGTAATGTCTCAGCAACGTGTATAGTTTGCTTATGAGCTGCGATTTCTCTCTGGAGAAACCACGCTTGTGCATTTTTTTTCTCTGATTCGATCATAAACTAGCACATTACGTACCGTTTCACTAGCCTGCTTTCACTTCACTTCAGCGTCATCATTACGACACGGCATTGGTTACGGCTTTTGCTCACACAGCGCGCGTTCCGGGTCTGAACACGGCAATGTTACTAGGTCCCCAACCCGGCATCGATCCCGGCATCAGTCCCGGGTCGTGTTTGCGTTCACACAGAAGGCACTCTGGCAATTTGCCGGCAATTTGCCGGGTTCAAAGCGCTGTGTGAAAGGGGCTATAGTGAACACGAGAGTGAGGTTGGAATGTGTGAGTATATGATTGCGGAGATGATGTTTTGAGGATCTGACCCCTGATACAAAGGTGTTTCCCGTCTCAGAGGGGGCGAGGTCCAATGTGAGAACATCAGCTGAGTGACCATGGAAACTCTGCAGCAGCTGCCCACTCTCAACATCCCATAATGCACATGTACCATCACCACTTGATGTCAGAATCTGAAACACACACATAAAGTTTCCAAAAGGGGGGTTTTGCAGCAATGCCATAAATGAACTATTTTTGGTTCTCCAAAGAACTATGAAATGTGAATCCTTTTTACCATTTTTAAAACCTTTTCCCACAAGAAAGAAACGTTTGTGCAATAGAAAGGTTCCAATAGGATGCCATTAAAGAACCTTTGTTTTTAAGAGAGTAACCAAGTACAGATCACTTTAAATTCATCCTGACATTTTACATTATCCTGGAAGACTGATCAAATTCACAGAGAGAAACATAACCCCTGTATCACCCTCTAGTGGAGGTATTGATCATTAGCGCATTACCACAAACACATCCAGCAATACTATGGAAGTAAAAACTATCTTTTTTTTTTTAACAAAAAAGCTTGTTGAATATCACTAATTGAAAAAAATATGCATTGCATTAAACGTGCTTGCATTTTAATGCATTGTATTTTGGGGTCTTGCATTTTTATGGGCTGAAATTCAACATGGTTGAATATTTAAGCTGTGAATACTTTTACAATTCAAAACATTTCACACACTGAAAATTCAATAATCCATATTCACCTTTCAGATTTCACTTCCAAAATGTTCGTTCTGTTTAAAAACACAACCTATAATATTCGACAGTCAATTTCCGGGCCATTTTTTTCACTTTACAAATTCACTGGTTCAAATTCGACAGAACATTCAACATTTCACATGATCCGGGAACTGCAGGAATATCAATAGATTGCCGATTCATAATCTCTATCTGCTGTTAGTCGGCTGAACAGAACAGAAATGGAGCAAGCGATAAGTCATTTGTGAATTATCAGGGCCAGTAGCTATATATGGAAAAGCTGGTAAAGACACAAAAGCTGTGTTTACATTATATCAAACAAGTCTTCATGGTTACTTTTGTACATGTAAGCAGCCCTCTCTACCGTGAACGAGATTATAATGTTATTCCCCGATGCTGGCGTACAGATCAAACGTTAAATCTGTACCACAGAATTTTCCCTTTCCATGCTTTATTAATAGATGTATTGAATCCCCTGCCTTGACGTAACAAAATCTTTCACTTCATCTTTTTCAATCTTTATTGTCACTGACAGGAACATAATCAAGAAAGAGGAACAATCTGTGATGCGATGGAGCAGAGAGAGAAAACCCCGACCCTTTTCTCCAAACACACTCATGATAAACACAAACCCAGTCAGAAAACTGGAGATCTTTTTTTTTTATTATTATTATTTCAAATGACTGTTACACTCACAGAACAGACCAATACACAGGATTCATGCTGAAAAGGCACACAAATTTGCATTCAATAAAATAACAAGGTTATTTTTAAAAGCATAAATCCCGTCAGGGGAACTTCAGGGGGACTGCTGTGATATTTGCTATGAGTAATGTGTGTGTGTTCTATAAATATCAGCCGAATCATTACAGATTCATCACTGCCACAGACACACTGAATTAATAAACTATGCATTAATACAATTTGACCATCTCCACACACAGTGCACTGCAGTGTCTACACTCAGCTGAGCTGATAAAATAATGTCAATGCAACATCACACTGATGCCAAAGCAGAAACAGTCTGTTTAGCACTAAAATGAATGCATTAGTAATGAACACAGCACTCACTATAAATATAAATTATTTATATTGTATATTTCCTGCATAGATGACGGTAAGTTCTGACCAGGTTTAGGTCCAAATACCATTATTGAGCAGTCTAGAACATATATACTGTACATGATATACTGATATTATGTACTGTACTGATATATACTACACACTCTGATATATTTTTATATTTTCTGGAGAGAAGAATGTTGCCTTGGCAAGTAGCTGAAATAAAATAAGTTTAAATTTTGATTATTTTATTTTGGTTAAAGCTGCCGTCGGCAACATTTTTTTGATCATATTCAGTGAAATCGACACTATAATCTGACAGAACAACATAAATAAAGTGGTTTTAGAAAAAAACCCGAGCTTCTAACTCCACCTGGAGCGTGTTATTTGTTTTGCAAAAATCCACAGCTCCCGGATCATCGGGTCCAATCAGCGCAGGGGGGGTGTGAGATCTGACTGTCAATCACAGATCGGGCACACGCCACCCCTCGTGCACGTTACAATCACATGCACAGGCCTGAAGTTCACGCAGTAACGAAGAGTGATGGTGGAACATTAACAAATCAAGTAAGCTCATTTAGAGTATAAATGACGTTAGCAATTGCAATCTATCGGTAGATTAGCCAGGGCAGCATACCTCCAAATACTCCATGGTGTTGATGGATGCTGATGAGACGGGCGCGTTCACTGAAAATCTGGTGCACACGCACTGATGAGCATGAACTCGGTGGGAGGGTATCCGTTGATAGTGGGGGAGGGCCATAAGAGTTGTAAACATTCAAAATTTTGCCTAAGTCCACTCAATCTGCCAGACTTGCCGACTGCAGCTTTAACGTTCACACACACTGTATAGTTGTAATAGTAATCATGATATTTGCTAAACTAGTTTTAAAAATAGTGAGGTACACTTTAGATTTCCTCACAGGTTGGTGTTCGACATGTTTTCCTATATTTGCGAGGGTTTTTCTAAATTTAAGCCTTCTCAAGCAATCCTGCACACACACACACACACACACTCACCTGCATATCAGAGTTGGTGAAGCTGCAGGAAGACAGATAATTGGTGTGCATGGCCACAGATTTCTTCTTAGATGACAAGTTCTCATTTTTATCCAAAGAGAGTGGATAGACGGAGCATTTATTATCCAAACCACTGAATGAAAGACAAAGAGAGATTCGACCACTTTGCACAAATGCACAGCAAATGATAGGTTATATTTTGACTAGATATATGAATTTCATTACAATCTCAGAGCTGCACTTTAGTTGCTTTTAATTATTACCTGAAGACAGGGCTCTGTTTAGGAATCTCATATAATACAGTATATACTAATACAATAAATTCTCAGTTAAGATCAGAGTTGAGCAATAATTATTACACTCATGAAACTCTCATGACTTACCCACAAGCCACAGCACAGCCAGAGGGGGCATAAGCACAAGCCATGACCCAGGTGCAGGGCATAGTGACCGCATGCTCCTGCAAAGTACACAACACATCACAAAGAAATCTGTACAAATCTGACCAAGACAAAAAAGTGAGGATGCATTAATCTGCCACTTGAATATATTGTCATGTTCAAGAAACCAGTTTGAGATGATCTGAGCTTTGTGACATGGCGTGTTATCCTGCTAGCCATCAGAAATCCACTGTGTTCATAAAGAGATGGACATGGTCAGCAACAATATTCAGGTAGACTGGCGTTTAAACAAAACTCAACCCAAAGTATGCCAAGAAAATATCCCCAAGATCATTACACCACCAGCAGCAGCCTGAACCAGTGATACAAGGCAGGATGGATCCATGCTTTCATGTTGTTATTGCCAAATTCCTGCGACATTTTATAACATGCAACTGTAAATAATTTATGTGTTAGCTAGATTATGTTCAGTACCTGTCTAACAATGTATGTCTATGCTGAAATATAGCATAGACATACATTATTTCAACGGATGCCCCATCACAAAGTTTTGCTAAGGGCCCCCAGAAGTGTAGGACCGGCAGCGTATTCCCCACACTCATACACACAAACATGCTATGAGAATGCAGGTTATTAAAACACACACGTCTGATTATTTAAATTGTCTTGTACACAGAAACAAACATTCTGCATGGCTGATGTGTTAATGTGTGTGTTTTTGTGGCTGCCGGATTAGTTTGTCACTAATACTCTGGGTTTCCATTAGTGCATTACAACTGTAAATCATGCAGATTATTATTTTAAATCACTGTAGCACTGCAAAACATCCGTCTAGAAAAACGTTTGACACGGATATAAAGATTTACCTTATTGGTTGTATATGCATCCCAGACAATGACTTTCCCATCCTATAGGAGAGATTCAACATTTCAGTAAAGACTTATACATTATTAATATAATGAAGATTGTGTATAACTGATCTATTTCAGCTTCTAACTCTTTAGGACAACAGATGACATTCACAAAAAAAAAAAAAAAATCCTAACAAAATGTTAAAGCAACCAATTAGTGTCTATCTATGACAGCAGTGGATAGAAACAGTGATGATACGTCCTGTTACCTGAGAGGAGCTGACGATTCTTCTCTTGTCCCGGCACCAGTCCATGCACAGCACTTTATTTCCATGTCCTTTTAAAGTTCTCCGGGTTTTCATGACAAACTGACCCAGAGCTTCCATCTTCTCCGCCACCTGATGCACTGCGTTCAGAAAGACAAATCTGCATGAACCACACGACCACCTGAAGAACTTGAAACTGAACCAGAACTGAAAACACATCTCAGCATCAGGAAGACGTAACATGAATGATGATCAGCTCTATTACACTCACCGGCCACTTTATTAGGTACACCTGTCCAACTGCTCGTTAACACTTAATTTCTAAGCAGCCAATCACATGGCGGCAACTCAGTGCATTTAGGCATGTAGACATGGTCAAGACAATCTCCTGCAGTTCAAACCGAGCATCAGTATGGGGAAGAAAGTTGATTTGAGTGACTTTGAACGTGGCATGATTGTTGGTGCCAGAAGGGCTGGTCTGAGTATTTCAGAAACTGCTAATCTACTGGGATTTTCACGCACAACCATCTCTAGGGTTTACAGAGAATGGTCCGAAAAAGAAAAAACATCCAGTGAGCGGCAGTTCTGTGGGCGGAAATGCCTTGTTGATGCCAGAGGTCAGAGGAGAATGGCCAGACTGGTTCGAGCTGATAGAAGGGCAACAGTGACTGAAATAACCACTCGTTACAACCGAGGTATGCAGCAAAGCATTTGTGAAGCCACAACACGCACAACCTTGAGGCGGATGGGCTACAACAGCAGAAGACCCCACCGGGTACCAGTCATCTCCACTACAAATAGGAAAAAGAGGCTACAATTTGCAAGAGCTCACCAAAATTGAACAGTTGAAGACTGGAAAAATGTTGCCTGGTCTGATGAGTCTCGATTTCTGTTGAGACATTCAGATGTTAGAGTCAGAATTTGGCGTAAACAGAATGAGAACATGGAACCATCATGCCTTGTTACCACTGTGCAGGCTGGTGGTGGTGGTGTAATGGTGTGGGGGATGTTTTCCTGGCACACTTTAGGCCCCTTAGTGCCAATTGGGCATCGTTTAAATGCCACGGCCTACCTGAGCATTGTTTCTGACCATGTCCATCCCTTTATGGCCACCATGTACCCATCCTCTGATGGCTACTTCCACCATGTCACAAAGCTCTAATCATTTCAAATTGGTTTCTTGAACATGACAATGAGTTCACTGTACTAAAATGGCCTCCACAGTCACCAGATCTCAACCCAATAGAGCATCTTTGGGATGTGGTGGAACGGGAGATTCGCATCATGGATGTGCAGCCGACAAATCTGCGGCAACTGTGTGATGCCATCATGTCAATATGGACCAAACTCCCTGAGGAATGCTTCCAGCACCTTGTTGAATCTATGCCACGAAGAATTGAGGCAGTTCTGAAGGCAAAAGGGGGTCCAACCCGTTACTAGCATGGGGTACCTAATAAAGTGGCCGGTGAGTGTATATTTGGACAGATATATGACTGTACTAAATTACCAGTTTATTTATTTAACAATACAATTACACTTACAACAGTAATTATTATAAGAATACAATATAATCCTCCATTGCAACTGTGGTATTTTACTATTACAGCATACATTGCAGCATGATTAAATTACATGTTTACTACTTGTTGGTAATCGGTGCTGTATATTTGCATCTTAGTTCCTTCTTTTAAACTGCTGTGAAAGAAACTGCATAAATTAGCCCCCAGAACATAACATCATACTGTGATTTTACAAATACAGGCCATGCTAGTGTACAATTTGTTACAGTGTGACACATCTTTACTGACACATTTTATAATAGAAAATATTGCATTCAGAATCTTGCAGGAAATCAGTGCAGGCCATTTTTTCTTGTAACAAATCACAAATACATATAACCAAACTTCCTTGCGATGTTGGATCCTACAATAGTGAAATACCCATAATCATTTGTGCTTGAAATAAAATGCTTGGGCAAACATGGGGATCATTTAATATTGAGTGTCCCTTCAGTTCAACTGGCGGAGCATGATGCCAACAATGCTCAAGGGGGGGAATCAGGGGGGCATCAGGGGGGACTGAATCCAGGAAGTGAATTTCAAGTAGGGACAGAGTAAAAGTTCAAAATGTAGAGGATCACAGCAGTTACCCCCTTCCAACAAAGCGTTTAAATCAGAGGGCTAAAATCAAGGTCGAAAATTTACTTTAATTTCCAAATCATAAGTGTACATCAGAAAACATTATAAAATAATAATAAAAAAAATGCAGAATGCAGTCCATGATCCCTTTAATATAGCCTAATCATTTATTTAATAAAGTATCAGTAGCCTAACTAACACCATGTGCTTTGCATTTGTATCATTTTCATTCACTGGTTAGTTCTTAATCTTAATTCCGAATTAAGAATTTCACGATTTTGCTGTAAATGTTGTCACAAACTTCTATAAATGACTGGACAGCAGTTCCAATATTTTTTTAAACAATACTACAATTTTTACGTATTATTTATAGCCTATTTATATACAGGCCTAAGTCGTAGTTAAAATCTGGTTAAATTTAAATCTAAATCTTGATTTATCCTGGGCCTCATAATATTAAAAGCGTCCAGCTGATTTCATGCATGTTACGTGAACATATTTTGATCGCTATTACAGACATCGAATACATGTATTAATCTCTTACATTTAGGTCGTATAATTTGGTAAATATCGCTGTAGCCTATTTCATATCAAGCTGCCTACAGATACGGCATGTTTTGGCATATCGCGCATTACCTGTGATATCCATGAATGCAGTCTAGCTAGGCAGCTCGCTAGGTTTTGACACACAACCACTCAGTGTTTTACTCACGCTCGACGTCGTGTAGTTTGGCTCTCTCCTCCTCTAGTTTGGCTTTCAAAGACTCAGACTCCACTTTCAGTGTTTGGATGGTTTCGCCCTTCGTAAGTCCCTGACAGGCCATCTTTAATAAAACACAGATGGATGACGGATGGGTCAGAAAATATGCTCTTTATCATGAGCCGAGACTGATACTGCACAGTCTGCACAACTGATGATGCTCTGACGTTAGCGCAAACGTCACGTGACACATCACCACCATCAGCATCACATTTATTTCTGGAGCTCACTGACTGAAGCCCAAAATCACATTTATATCTGATTAATATCGTTTCACTCAGTCTTGAAAATGTATGTTTCTAAATCACGTTGTAGCTACTTTTTCTTCCATCAAAGTAATTTAAATCGTCAGTTCAGTTGTCCTTTTTATGTAACTTCTGACTGAGTGCGTTCGTGCTGTTATTTGTAGCCTATTTGAATTGTTTTTTGGTTACTTTTGTAATACAACACAAATACATGTTGGTATTGGTGGTCTAAATAACAGTGCTGCTCTCTCAGAGCCTGTGTGTTTTCAGAGAGCTCTAGATAAAGCACTTTACACACGTGTTATGTGTAAGTGATGACATGAGAATGTGTTTTGCATAGCCTATCCTTCACCTCTGTGAAACGAATACTCTGAGCAATTAAATCAACAAGACAAAAGTATCACAACACTATAAAAATTAATCTTAGATCAAACAAATATGCTGAAGCAATAAATACATTTTTGCTTCGAGATTTATGTTACCAAAACAAGGTTACCATAAAATTCTCTAAAAACCCAACGGCTGGGTTCGTCCATATTCCATCGTTCCGATAAAAAGTAAAAATTAATAAGAGCATAAACATTCAATAAACTTGTTGATAAAGAAAAAAATGGACATATTTCACCAGAAGTAATGCATCTTGATACAGTTTTAGCTACTTCATTAACACACAATCAATGATTTTTAAGTCAATACAAAAAGCATTGTGTTGGATTAATTGATTTTTTTCTAAATAATATAAATAGGTCTGACTGTGGGAAAAATGGGTTTGTGTTTCAGGGTGTTTTCACACTTGGTCCGTTTCAGGGGGCTGAGCGCGGTTCACGTGATTTTTGGCCCTTATGTCAACACTTCAAATGACCTCAGACCCCTTAAAAGCGAACCGAACTGAACCGAGACCTTCTCGGGAGGTGGTCTGAGTACGGTTCACATTCAGCTAATGGTACGAATGCAACAGTATAAAGAAGTCTGTGACCACATATACTTTAGGTGGACCAAAAAAGGATCTGAGTCCTATTTCAGGGCCAGGGACAGTGTGAACGTAAAGAGAAATTGGTCCTTTTTCACTTTCACCTCTTAATCCACTTAAATGAGTCTGAGTTTGGTTCTTTTAAAGAGGACTCAAGTGTGAAAACACCCTCATTCCCATATTACCCTCCCATTTTCATTTATATTATTGTTGTTGGTGTCATGTTTAGTAACTGTTGTGATGCCAAGATGTGTTTGGTCGTATACTTAAAATTGTTGCTGTGTTCCATAAAGTGTTGAGGACTGTGTGTGGCATAAAGTGATATTTCATGAGTTTTTTTTTTTTTTTTTTTTTTTTTTTTTACTTCATAAGCATAATGTCAGTCTGAATCTTTTTAGGTCTTTTTTTTTAACAATAATGGCTGATTATAAGTCATACAACAGAATAAATAAGTTTACAGTGTGGATGTAGCATGCAGAAATCATGTTCTGAGAGACTAAAGTCTTAAAATAAGCATTGTGTTGTTGTACTGATCCAGCTGAAGTGTGTGATAACATACCAGCTCCACACACAGCGAGCAGTAGTTGATGGGCTCATTCTTCAGATAAATATTCATCAGAGGTTTGTTCTGACTGCAGTTATCACACGGGCCAAACGTAATGGCCAAAAATGTCTGGTCACACATCTTTGCGTCTGGTTGAGGCTGGACCTGTACACATGAGGAAGGGGGAAAAAAACAACATTTATTCACAATAACCAAAAGCCAGACATACACTGACAGACCACACTGAGTCCATGTTTGAGGTCGTCAATATATTAGTCTACTCCTGAAAGCTGCTAAAATAAACGTATACAGGTTACATCGGGGGCTAAAGGAAAATCTTCTTTTCACTACTCCCATTAAAAATATAACAAAAGGCCCCCAGTATACAAATACTAAATTAGCTAAATAAATACAATTAGCAAAAGTAATATGTTTTACGTAATATCTAAATTAATACTTGTTCAAAACAATAACTTTGGAAAATCTTGATAAATAAAATAATTTTCATTTACTCTTGTTCAACAAATACATTAAAATATGTTATTTTTTCAAAAATACTGAAAATTTCAATGAAAAAAAAAAGATTCTGAAAGCTTTTTACGCTGCTTGAAAGAGATCCCATAATTTAATGTCCTTATAACAATAAATAGGATTTTATTATATTGTATGATGATTAATATCATATTTTAAATATGATGGTTTCATTATAAATATGGTGGTTATCTCTAAGATGGAAACCCAAATTAATAAATAATATTGACCAGTTGAATTTAACTATGTCATGTCAACAAATAGTCAGCCAAATCACGTCAATTATTGTGCCTTATTTGGCCCCAACAGTAGGGGTGCTTTTTACCCCAAATACCATAATTATCAGATACTATTTCAGAACGGTTTATTTAATTAGCTTTAAAACTTTGAATTATTAACAAGATCTTTGTCTCAAAATATATTTGGTTATAGCCTGTATTTGATCACATCAAGTATCAGCTAAAATTCCACGCGCGCGGATGCTTAGGAAAAAGTGCCGCAGTGTGTTTTTATGCCATCTAGGGGTTTATAGAAAAATACAAATCAAATGCACCCTTTACCCGGTCCGCATTTAGCCCCTGTATTACGGAGTCCCTAAAGGGACATGATGAAGGAGACAAAATGAGATGGGAGGAAAAATCATGTCAATCACGTCAATTCTCGCAAATGTTTTGCGTTCCCCGAGAAACTTTGCCTTGGATCGCAAAATGTTTGCGTTCCCCCGAGAAACTTTGCGTTCACTCACAAAGGACACAAAAGTTTTGGGTGAAAATGCAAAAGCAGTTTATTTTTTCTCCCATCTCATATTTCCACCACCATGTCCCCTTGGAGGCTCCATACTATACACATTTAAAATATACAGTTTTTTCTCTTCTAGGAAAATGTACTAAAAATATTGCACAATAAAATGCTCTCTAATGTTTCATCGTCTAATACCATACTCTTAGAAGAAAATATGCTATATCATTTCTGAGTATACTTTATTCTGTCTCACGCACAGTCATTTCCGCACAGCTTTCAAAGTACACTCAGAGTGGTTGAACAAGCTCGACATGCAATTCAATTGCTTTTAATACTCTACCAGACATTAGAGGGCACCACTGGGTCATGTCATTTACAGGACATTCGCTCAGAAGGATAAAAGAAGAAGAGTAGCGGATCCGCCAGTAAACGCAGTTTAGAACAAGAACCAAAACAAAAATGATAGAGAAGGATATGCTGCTTTGTGTACTGTTTTTATTGCTCTTTCCGCACTGTTCTTTGACTACTGCACATCACAACTGTGCGTATAGCCACCTAGTGGACTCTTCTGTATCAACAATCACCTTGCGCATGCGCCCGCCGTTCTATGTGCACGGTCCACGCGGACACCAAAATGCAATCATTTAAGACATTTCACCTTATATAGAGTCTTTTTGGTATAAAGTGCTCTTTAAAATTGAGTCAATAACGCTAGGGTTCTATTTAAAACCCCATTGAACCTGCCTCTGACTAGCAATAGCAAGTAGCTGTAACCATATATATCCATAATAAAGGCTAGACGTCTTATGGCGGAGTCTCTATCGTCATCACCGTCGGCCATCTTGTCACAGGCAAGCTTTCTGGCGGGCTATGTGGTACCTGATGTAAGATGAGTGATCAGCACGAACACAAATACTCTTTATCTCGTTGAAATCTTGACGGATTTACAAACGGTTTGGTTTCTTACAAACGTTATTAACGTGGCTATACTTCTCTGGATGATTATTTATTTATACACTTGTTATTCATAAGTATGCAGTGCCATAACTACATCTCTGACGTTTATAACAAACCAAACCATTTGAAAATCGCTAGAAAATTGAGCAAGTTATGGTTATTTAAAAAGTACATGCACCATTAAACACAATGTTACGAGTGAGCGAGCTGCCTGTGACAAGATGGCCGCCAGGTGCGGACGTCGACCTCCATTGGCCAGCAGCCCGGACGAGACATCTAGCCTTTATTATGGATATCTATGGCTGTAGCACTATTTAAAAAAAAAAAGATACAAGCTGCGTCCCAATGTGCATACTATCAATCCTAAATAGTATGTGACATTAGTAATTGTCAATACTATTTAGGGCAGATAGGGTGGATAGTATGCACATTGGGACGCAGCTACACTCTTCGATGTGACCTGACCTAACTTCCTGTTTCAATAGGTAATGCATCAACACAGAGAAGAAAACTGTGCTTGTCAAGCCATTTCATGGGGTCTTTAAATGTTTAATTCTGTCATGGTTTGTGCAATGGAAATAAGACAAAATCAGCAGTTAAAATGAGCGTAAAATATTAAACGTTTAGTATCTTGGTTTCCGTGTTCCATCCAAGTGCTGTAAAATGTTGATCCCATGCAATACCAGCTAATAAATAAGTCAATAAATACATAACTAGAAACAGAACAGAAACTTAATTTGTACTTTTGTTGTATAGACACCATCAGATCACTCATAACATTCTCCAAATTCACTTTATATTTTAAACAGAATCTATTTATTTAAACTTACCTTTCAAAATATTTTTGTGGCAGGTGTGTGCTTGCAGTCTTAAGAGGGAGGAGAAAGGGACTGAGCCTGAGAGAGGCAAGCGATAAGCTCCTTACAGTAGCATTAGGGTTTTAACCCTGGAGAAGTTTTACCAGCAGAAATAGTAGCCAGTCAGAGACAGACACAAATAATACTGCTTAAGCTGGTTGAATAATTCATCAGTAAAACGGCAGTGAAAATACTTATGTGATCTTCAAATATAGCCATTTAGAACTTGGATAGTTCATCCAAAAATGAAAATTCTCTCCCTCATGTCATGTCGTTCCAAACCCGCAAGACCTTCATTCATCTTCGGAACACAAATGAGGATCTTTTTGATGAAATCTGACTTTCTGGCTTTCTGTCCTTCCATTGACAGCTACGCAACTACCACTTTGACCCTTCAAAAAGTTCATAAAGAGATTGCAAAACGAATCCATATGAATTGAGAGGTTTTAGTCAGCATTTTCTGTGGAGACTCGATCGCTTTATATGATATTTAGGCTTTTTTTCACATATAAACATTCATTAACTCACACCCCAGTTGTGGTAAATGGAACCTCAAGCATGTTCGTTTGACGTGTGAGAACCAATGAGGTTCATTCTTGTGTGTTACGCAGTACGTTTGAGCTTCTGCAGGAACCAATGAGGTTTGTCCAAGCAGGTTTGGTTGAGCTTCTGTTTATGTCGCTGATCAGTGTTTAAATGTGAATCACAAGTCTCTTCAGAAAATTTGGACTGAACTGCTCAATTCACATGGATTAGTTTTACAATCTCTTTATGAACTTTTTGAAGCGCAAAGTTTCAGTTGTGTAGCTGTCAACGGAGGGACAGAAAGCTCCCAGATTTAATCAAAGTATCTTCATTTGTGTTCAGAAGATAAACGAAAGTCTTACGGGTTTGGAACGACAGGAGGGTGAGTAATTAATGACAGATTTTTCATTTTTGGGTGAACTAACCCTTTAACTTTGACAGAATTCACAAAAAAAAATTAATTTACACACAACTGATAGCTGCCTGAGTGCTTTCCCCTTTCATTTTTGTGATGTCAACATGAATCAACCTAATTTCCTGTTCTGTCTCCTCCTCTTCCCTTTTGCGTCTTAACTGAATGGAAGAGGTAGGATGATTTTCGACTTATCTGATATAGGCTATCATTAAATATGATATTAAGACTTTTTTTAAAAGGTTGCCTGGTGCATGCAAGCACAGAGTTATAGCACCGATAGCCAAACCAGGAAAGGATCATTCTCAGACCAATATCACTGACATCAAAAACTTATGGAACGGATATGAACAGATTGTCATATGTTATAGAGAACAAGAACCTTTTGTCTCTTTATCAGAGTGGATTTCGAAAGGGGAGAAATACTATGGATTCAGTTTTATGTCTGGAAAATGAAATAAGAAATACCCAAGTTAGAAAAGAAGTAGCAGTAAGAGTGTTTTCAACGTCGAAAAGGTGTAAGATATGCTGTGGAAGGAGGGCATATTAATGAAATTAGATAGTATGGGGAAAAATTTCCATTTAAAATGTTCTGTTTGGGAGAACAATTCAAGTAAGAGTGGGGTCCACTCCACATATTCTCAGACTTATCCTATAGAGAACGGTACACCCCAGGGAAGTGTAAGTAGTCCTGTTCTTTTTAACTTAATGATAAATGACATTTTTAACAATATTGATGTGGGAGTAAGTCATTGTATGCGGATGACGGAGCTTTATGGAGAAGGGGACGAAAAGTTCCATGTGTAGAAAAGAAAAGGGCAAAATGACGAGGTTGAGAATTGGGCTAAGAAATGGGGTTTTAGATTTTATGTGGCAAAAACTTTAATATAAATATTAAAATGTATGGGCATTAGTTGGAACAAGTAAATGTAGTCAGATTTCTTGGAATGTGGATGGATTCAAAATTAAAATTCAGAATGGATATTCCGAAACTGATAGAAAAATGTAAAAAAGGGATAAACAGATTAAAGCGCATATCAGGAGTTGAATCAGGAGTCAGTAAGGAGTCAGTCACTGAAAAGAATATATAAAGCAGTGATAAGATCTAACATTGACTATGGCAGTATGGTGTACAGCTCTGCGAATAAAACGTGGATTAAAAAGATTGAGACTTAGAAGAAAATTAGAGTATATGTTGCGGAGCATTCAGATCATCGCCAGTGACGACATCATCACAGATTGAAACGGGAGAAATGCCTCTAGAATTATAGACTTCAGTTGAGGATGAGATACTGGACCGGAGTAAAGGGACATTTAGGCCACATTTACAAATAGCGAATACAATTCTAATAGAATGTTGGGAATATGAATATAAAGAAATAGCAAGTTTTGTTTGGACTGTTGGGAAGGATGCACAAAGTATGGGACTGGATGATTTTGATATTGCACCTTCAGTGGCAATTCCGGCAATACCTCCCTGGTTGTTCCCAAATGCACATATTCATAGAGAGTAACAAGGAAATGAACATACCAACAGTTACAGTGGTACAACAATACATAAATCAAATTCAGTATTGCAGATATACACAGATAGATCTAAAGATCCAGAATCTGGAAGAACAGCAGCAGCAGTGTTAACCTACATTTAAAATCAAAATTGCAAAAAGAATATCAGAACATATTTCAGTATTTTTTACTAAATTATTATCCAAATGTCTAGCAGTGGATTGAAGAGGTACAAATACATCATTGACATGTAAAGATTCAATGGCTACCCTTACAAGTTCACAGAGTGGAACAGCAGAACAGTTATGATATTGGTATATTTCCTTTGGATGTCGGATCATGTAGGTGTGGAAGGGAACAAGGGAAGTGTATCAGCTGGCAAAGAAGGCCCTGAAACAGTCACAACGTTAAATGTAAGGTATCAATAAGTAAAGCTGAAATGAAGCGACAAATAATGATATAAATAAGAGAGAAATGGCAAAAAAAATTGGGATAATGAAAAAAAAGAAGACATTTGCAATAGAAGGAAGGATGTTATAAGACTGAGAATAGGGCATCCAGCATTCAATAACAGTTTGCATAGGGAAACATTAAATTGGTAATTGTGACAAATGTGGACTTCCCAGAAACTGCAGCATATTCTTTTAAAAATGTGTTGCAAATGAAAGAGAAAGATTTCAGCTATCTCAATAAATAGAACAGATGAGAATTAATCATATATGCAGGTGATATTAGGAAATGGGTTAATGCAATCAAAGGTACATGAAGAATTGTTTAAGTATCTAAAAAAAGACAGGAATAATAAAAGAAATATAAAAGTTTTTTTTTTTCTTTTCTATCATTTACTATTCCCCTTTCATTACTCTTAGATAGATGTACCAATGTACGCTCCACACTCCAGATCAGGTGGTGGACATGGACCTTTCAAATTAGTTTGCCAAACCTCCACAAATTTGATAAGAAGATGTTTGACTTCTGATAATCTTATTTAATCTTTATTGTAATTATTGCTTTTATGTTTTGGGCATCATATTTATTTTATAGAGAACGTTAAGGGCAATTACTCAGATGCTGCTTATGTGTTCTCTATAGGTATATTTTCTTGTTTAATGTAATTGTCCTTTTTGCCCTTTTGCATTGTAACTGAATGGAAGAGAGAACATTAAGGGTAATTCACTCAGGCTGCATGTGTTCTCTATCAGAGGAGGAATAAAAGATCCAGCGAAACTGCCAGCCGCTGTCCCGTGCCTAACTACAAAAAATACACAACGCAGACAACAAACCAGTTACACATATAATGCTGCTGCATAGATTGGGAGAGGAGAGGAGAGGAGTGGAGTCATGGGCTTTCTCTGTCTGTGACATTTTAGTTTTAAGTCACTAGAGGGAGCTGTTAGTCTTAAAGGGATACTCCACTTTTTTTGGAAATAGGCTCATTTTACAACTCCCCCAGAGTTAAACTGTTGAGTTTTACCGTTTTTGAATCCATTCAGCCGATCTCCGGTTCTGGCGGTACCACTTTTAGCATAGCTTAGCATACATCATTGGAGTGGACAAGACCATTAGCATTTCTAAAACAAAAATGACCAAAGAGTTTCGATATTTTTCCTATTTAAAACTTGACTCTTCTGTAGTTACATCGTGGACTAAGACCGACGGAAAATGTGAAGTTGCGATTTTCTAGGCTGATATGGCTTGGAACTATACTCTCATTCCTGCATAATAATCAATAAACTTTACTGCCGTACCATGAGTGCAGCAGGCGTAATGATATGATGCAGCACCTGAAAATAGGCCACCTTCCTTCAACACGGAACTATTTTTAGACATATGAAAACAAGGCATCATGCCTCAGACTAAAAGGCTTCATTCATTGGACAAAACGGCATCGCGCCTCAGACTGAAAAGCTTCAGGTCTCAGGAAAAACAATGTCAGGTGTCAGGTCTCGTACAATTAGGCATCAGACGAAACAGCCTCAGACAAAAAGGCATCAGACTAAAAGGCATCGGACGAAACTGCATCAGACAAAACAGCCTCAGACTAAAAGGCATCGGACGAAACTGCATCAGACAAAACAGCCTCAGACAAAAAGGCATCGGACATAAAGGCATCAGACTAAAAGGCATCGGACATAAAGGCATCAGACTAAAAGGCATCGGACATAAAGGTATCAGACTAAAAGGCATCGGACATAAAGGCATCAGACTAAAAGGCATCGGACGAAACTGCATCAGACAAAACAGCCTCAGACAAAAAGGCATCGGACATAAAGGCATCAGACTAAAAGGCATCGGACATAAAGGCATCAGACTAAAAGGCATCGAACGAAACTGCATCAGACAAAACAGCCTCAGACAAAAAGGCATCGGACATAAAGGCATCAGACTAAAAGGCATCGGACGAAACAGCCTCAGACAAAAAGGCATCAGACTAAAAGGCATCGGACGAAACTGCATCAGACAAAAAGGCATCGGACAAAAAGGCATCAGACTAAAAGGCATCGGGCGAAACGGTGGAGTTTAGAGGTTTGCATTGCCCCGCCCCATGTGACGTCACGTCATTATTTTTCGACATAATATCTGTTATTTCGATATAATATCTCGTTATTTCGACATAATAACTTGCTATTTAT